TGGATTGGAAATGGAAAAGGGAGGAAGACAGGCTATGAATAGTGCACTGCTACAACTTCAAACTCGATTTAGACCTTGATGCAGTCAATATCTCTCAAAACTCAAAACATGAAATTTTAGAGCTCTTTCGTATCATTCCATAGCATCTTGAATCATCTCAATCGGAGCTTGGATGAGAGAGTTATGCTCAGATAACGAAATGATGTCGAAATAGTCCAATTAGCTTCGTTTTGCATTTAATGTCTCCATTTGCATCCTAAATCAAAATATAAAAATAATGAGTACTTTTAGGCTTCAAATAAGTATAAAAGGCTTTAAGAAACACCCTTTATCACCTTTTATTTGCAAACATCGCAAAACTTCATTAATAGCCGATTCGGATGGGTAAAATAGAAACTTTAGTGTTTCGGGTGTACGTTGACTTGGGTGTTGAGATAAATCATAAAAACAAATATTTTTAGGTTAAAATAACATTAAAAATGAATCCGGAATGTCAAAAAACCTTAGGGTAGTCATATGGATCAAATTGGAGATTCTTAGTGGCAAAACTGTAAATTTGGAGAAACCCAAAACAGCCTGTGAACAGTATTTTTCGAGACTGCTATGTTTTAAACTCATTTTCATCTCATTTGCTCTCATTTCCTTAACTCCCCTCACACCCCCACACCTCTTGAAACCCTAGAGGGCATTAGAGAAGAAGAAAGGAAGGGAAAAACAAGAGATTTAAGGGTGATTCAAGATCAAATATTCTTGTTCTTCACTCCAAAGCTAAGGATTCAAGGTAGGAGTTTTCTCTCATTCACTTACATTGAGGCTAGAGTATTTATATATGTATGTTTTGGCTATCAATGATATATATATGCTATGAAATCATCCTCTCTTAAGCTTTTTGCAAGGATTACATGTTTTGAACAAAGTAGGGTTTAATACCCATGAAATCTCCTTTCTAGTTTTAAAACCCTAATTTTTGGAGAGTGATGTATTTCCTTCCTAAATGCTTTCTTTATTATGGATTTCAAAACCTTAGTGCTTTGTGTTGGATAGAAAATTGATGTTATTGTGATCTCATGTATTTTCTTAGTTAGTTGTGGAATTGTTATATGCTATATTTTGGGAATTTTGGATAGATGCTTGTAAATTGAGATAAATGTTGGAATTTATGCTTGGTTGGGTTGTTTATGATGCACATGAGTGAGAGGTTCCTTGTAAGGATACTCACCCCTTCCTAAGAGATTCCCGGTAAGGATGCTTAGAAAATAATGTAGTGATTGGTGAGAGGTTTCATGTAAGGATGTTCATCCATTTTCAAGAGATTTTCAGTAAAGATCTTGAGAATTAAAGGTGACCTAAAAGGGGGGTGGAGGTTACCACAAAGTATGCCACCTACCAAAAGAATTGTTGAAAATTGGTTATGACAATTAATTGTTATTATTTGTATGTGGTGCTCATTTATTCATTTAAGTAATATTTTTAAATAAACTTGAGATCCTTTTTAAATGTCACTACTTTATTTCAAATTATGTGTCTATGTTATGTTAAAATTGAGACCGACCGTTTTAAATACTTTTCTAAACCTTGTATGAGTTTGAGAGAATGTTTCTACAGAGCTTCGTGCTCACCCCTTATCGCTAACATTTTTCAGATTACCCGCTTGAGGAGGAGGACGTAAGGGTCGAGGAGCCCGCTACTTGGGAGACTCCACGGGACAGGAGTGTGGATCCCGAGGTGGACGTATAGAGCGACCTCCTTTCCTTTTATACTAGACTAGGACATTCTTTTGGAACATTGTGTAGTCTAGCTTCTTTTGTTTATTCCGTTGCGCTTCCTTAATTAATTTTTGAGATGTAATAGCCATGACTTGGGCTTATTCTTTTGGATAATGTTGTAAATATTCGTGGATGACAAATGAAGTCTTGTTTTTTAAGGGATTATATTAGTGCTCTCATGATATGAATGATTTTAGAATGTAATATCATCTAGGGTGTGTTTTGGGACGTTACAGCCATCCCTCGGCGTATGACCCGTACCTGAAATATTTCCCGTATAGGGTGAGCCAACGCCCAGTAGAGTATATCCTACAAGGGCTACTCTCCACCTAAGTGCACATGCAATGTTCACATTTGACAGTTCATATTCACATCAACATTCCAAGTAAGAATGTGCAACTCTATATTGGAATTCACCATGTCATGCAATGAAATGAGATGGAACTCACTCATGCAACTTTAACTCGAGTCCTCACCGACTCCCACAACACAATGCAACGCATATGTGTAAATCAACGTCTTTGATGAAACACATCCAAAGATCATTTTGAAATCAACCATATGTCATAAAACCATTTCATTCATAGATGTTTCATATCAAATGAATAATTTATATATCAAAATCATGTGCCTTTATTGGGTATCGGATTCAGGAATTGCACTTCCCGCTCCGTACGCCGTTACACTTTTCTGGAATTTCACCGCCGGTAAGTGTATGAACCAAGTGGCAAGGTATTTCACCCGAGAGAGTGTGTAGCCCTACTTGCTATACCCGAGACAAGTTTTCTTATGCATGTAACCGTGCGACCTAGTAGGACATTCAATCCCATTTTTCTGTGCCCACCCTTCAATCACCAAGAATGATGCTTGAATGAACCATGTCCAACTCACACACACCCATACTTAGGACTTATGCCCATGAATGTGATGCCTCTATGCACAATGATACAATGTTCAATATGTTATGAATGACATATGAACAATCTCAACATATCATGGTAAGTTATGTTCTAAGCATATAGTTACCATATTTGTCACAAATTCAATATATCATAACATGCATATACCAACAATTGCATTTTCAATCATAAATCATGTCATAAGTTTATAATTTCACTTTCATAATCATAGGCAAGTGATATTATAATTTTTAGGCTAATAACACACCTAATCATTAAGGCATAATGTAACATATAACGGCCCATGTAATAGCCCATGTAACGACTCTTATCTAAACCACAAAATAGCCCATATAAATCACCATATAACAGCCCGTATATAGCCCACAAAATAGACTAAAAATAGTCAGCAAAAACAGTCCAAAATTAGTCACAATTTCAGCCCAAAAATAGTCACGATTTCAGTTCATAACATGGCCTAAAAATAGTCCATAATTCAGCCCTTAAACAGCCCAAATTTAGCCCCTTAACAGTCCCTAATTAGTGCACAAAATAGCCCCTAATTAGTGCACAAAATAACCCTTAATTAGTGCACAAAATAGCCCTAATTTCAGCACCAAAACAGTCCAAAAATAGTCCATTTGGACAGCCCTTGGATAGCCCACATATAAACCAATTTCAGCCACTAAAAGCCCACTTAAGGTAAGAATAAAACCAAGGTAGGAGGGAACCCTACCTCAATAGAAGTGTAAGAACTTCTATAACATCAAATCAACCTCAAAATTTAATTTTTTTCCAAAGTCTCCTCTTGGATCTTCGGTGAAATCCACTCTTTTTGGTACGTACACGTAGCCCTCATCGAGGAGATGAACTTTGGCTCTTGGTCCGAGTTGATCCGAGTGACGGAACTCCGAGAATCGGCGAATGAAAATTTGTTTTCTCCCTTTTCTCTCCCTCTTGCTCTCACACATTGGAACCAGCTGAAATGCAGAGATCTTTCTGTAAAATATCTGATTTAGCCCCTATTTATATTTTTTCAAGGCTTGGCTCTCGTCGCCCCAAGTGTCCCCCATTTGTTCGGGTCTGTTTTTCGCTCTGAAACGATTAAATTTCGTACCGGTTTAAGCTCAAAATATTTTATATAAACTTTATTTAAAATATTTTCCAAATTTAAAATTTGTTATAAAAATTTCGTTTTTGGGGGTGACCGGACACCCATCATCTCGAAAAATGTGAAAAATTCGACTATCTCGGAATTTGACGAAATTTATCTAAGTAACTAGATTTCGCGAGAAGAATCCAACGGTAAGGTCCGTTTCGTCATCCAAGGTCTAGAAAAATACCAGTTTTCAACTCGCACTATAATGACAAATTACCATTTTACCCTTTTTTTTCAGAAAAAGTTCAAATTTTTCCCGGGTTTCACAAAGACAACCTCCCAAGTTAACATAATAATATCCTTTTAGAGAATCAAGCATTTTACTACCATATTTAGCTAAAATTACATTTCATCTTTGGCACTATCTAAACTTCTCAAAATTCTTGATTTCCCCCAAAATTCTAAATTTTAAAGTACTAATAACTACACCAAAAAATGTACGATCAAAAAAGATAAATCCTGGTTATGAAACAAAAAACGAAAAAATTGTTTAAGGCCAAAAAAAGTTTCAAGTACAAAAATTTCTTAGTTTTACTCATTCTAAGATGGCTTGGACATTTTTTATTTGAACATTGTATAAAGATTTCCAAAAGTGCGGCAATATCCTACCATTAGAATTGCTTGAAAACACAAATAAACAATATCACATATATTAGACTCACATATGAAGACATATATAGATGTAATGAAGTTTGAGCACATCAAAATATGATTTACACTGACCCAAAACTCTCTCAACGCATAATGGAACATTATAACAATGAAGAGTGGTATGCACAATCATGTTCAGGTGACTAGATTATTAAGGTTCTATCAAGAAGGAAGCGTGAGATTTTTATAGGTTGAAGTGAGTTAACAGAGAAAGAGTGAGTTAAGGGGGGGGGGGGGAAACAAAAGGTATTTATGGGTTGAATTTGTATTTGAAGAATCTTTATGGGCAGCCCAGCCCGTTGTGACGAACTTGATTGACACTAGCTATTTATGTTGGAATCAAATTCTATAGTTCATGAATTATAGATAGATGGACTAAGTGTCTCCATTGGGTAACAACTTTGTTTGGGGATTATTTAAAGATGTTGTGCCTACCCATAGTAATCTTCCTCGAAGGCCACTTCATGTTGATACTCTGCATGTTTACTTTGTGAGGCTCCAATTGAATCTTCTTGGAATTTCGGTATGGAGAATCTTTATGGGATGAAGTTGATTGACACTAGGTATTTATGTTGGAATCAAATTCTATAGTTCATGAATTATAGATAGATGGACTAAGTGTCTCCATTGGAGATTCTCTTCAATAGTGATAGAGTAGTGATATGTTCTCTTGTCTTCTTGTTTCGTTAACATAGACTTGCTTGTTAACTCGAACCACATAAATTTGTTTCTTTTGTTTTTCTATTTCATTCCAATTTATTTTGTTTGTGATCTTGATTCATAATAAATCTAGGAATGGAAAATATGCTGATCGGTTACTGTTTCCACCCTACAGAGAAAGACTTATTATTTTATCTTTCGTTGAAGGTATTGGGCCATCGATTTCCATGTGAAAGTGTTGTGAACGAGTGTGATATATATGGTGACATTGAGCTGATGAATCTATTTCAAACAGGATCAGAACATAGAGTGGTTTATGTGTTTGCGAAGTTGAAGAAGATGAGCAGCCAGCGGATTAAACGCATGGTGGCATCCGGGAAGGGTACGTGGAGAGGTTCCGATAGGGCGAGTCCTGTATTGGATCCACAGAAGAAGAATACTATAATCGGATGGAAGAGAAACTTTGTTTACGAGATCACAAAGACAAGGGCCAAACTCGGATACAACATGACTGAGTATAGCCTTCCCGACTCTACATTGAACACTGGAAGAGTTTTGTTCAAAGACTACGTTCTTTGCCACATCAAGAAGAAGAAACCACCACAAACCAATAACTCACTGTCACAAGACAACTTTCAAGAACTAATAGAGGGTGACTTGTTTGCCATGTTAGCAGAAGATCATTATCATTTATGAAGCTGCTCCGTCGCTACTATACAAGCAGATTGCATTGGGTGTCCATGTTGTCCAGTTTGAAGGATGTCCATATCAACAACACATGAGCATGGCAGTGAACCCTGAATTTGGTGCATTATATTTTGGACAAGATGGGTCTGTAGAATTTCAGGTGCCAAATAGTATCATGGCTACCTTAGCAGTAGATGATAGTGAAGGTATTCCCCAGCAGGCAATCAACAACAAGCCGAGCCCTTCAGTGGCCCAACTTGAAGAATATCAGTATGAGGAATACATGAGTCGTAATAATAACATGGGGACAACACCAGTTGCGCAACGTGGATCCATCACAAATGCATCAGTGGCACCCGAATCAGGTGCTGGTGCTTTATATTGTGGTAGAAGAACTGGATTTGAATGCCAAATACAAAGTAATGTCATGCCTTGTGCAGCAGAGTCTCCAATATCAGAAGAATGCTGCTTGCCTGCTCTGGAAACATGGGATTACACTGACCTATTTATGCTGGATAATACAAATTGGGATGGTATCGCTAGGGAATTCCTTGCTGAGCTGCTGCATGGTGATCAGGAAGAGTTGTCGAATGGTGATCAGGAAGAGGCTTTACAAGAGGGTGCAATTTCCATGATATCGCCGAACCCATCTGGTGTCCAGAATCTAACTAACCGTGGATATTAGGATTTATGATTACTAGAATTAGATTACCAGTAACTGTGAATATTTTTCTTTGGTACACAGTAGGGACAATTACAATACATTGATTTGAAGCATGTACTTTTTAGTTTGGCTCCATGTAGTTTGTTACTCATTGGCTGCTAGCCAATTCCTAAAGGATTTCAGCAGGTGCTGCCTAAAATTTTGGATGGTAAATATTCTTTGTAAGGTTTCAGCTTTGTGCAATTCTAATTTCAACTTAATTGATCTTTCTGGTGGACAAGTATGCAGAAAAGCAAACATGCCTTCTGGTTGTGCACATAAGATTTTATTTGAATTTTCTTGGATGATTTATGAAGAATTTTACAATTATTGAACTGACTTAAATTTGAGAGTCATATGAAGTGATTGTCATTTGCTTATGTGTGCTTTGATTGCCTCAATTAGCAAATTTTTATGTGCATAATTTTCAATCGGTCACATTTAGCTGCACTTAAGTTGTAACATTCAAATTCTTCTAGCTTTTAAAATCCTTGCAGCCTCTTGCCTTCTTCTATATTATGTTTTGGTTTGTTAGATCCCATCTTCTTGCCTATGTAATATGTTCTGGTCTTTCCGGTGGAATATTATGCAAAAAAAAGTTATGCCCTTTATATGGTTTTAGTTGAAGTGTGCCATTTACTACTTTACTTATCTTAGCTGATTTATAATCAGGTTTACATGTACTAGGCTGACTTAAAACCGAGAGTCACATGAAGTAGTGGCCATTTGCTTGCAAGCACTTTTGATTGCCTCCATTAGGAACTTTTTTATGTGTGCAATCTTTGTTAATTCTCCATGAGTTTCAGTCATATAACATTCATACAACTTTGCCCATAATAAGCGATTTCTTTCTGGTTTTCTTCTTGGGTTTTTGTTCTTTATCCGCCCGCAGTTTGAGTGGTTAGTTAAAGCATCCTCCTCTGTATGTTCTTCAATTTCAGCAAAACCTAAGTATAAGACACTGTCGTGCGTACTCCCAGTTGTTTCTTTGATCCTTGATCATTGAGTAAGCTCTGAGACCTTTATTTTGGTTAAGTCAGATAGAAAAAGAAACAAAAATATTTTGAGACATGAGATGATGTTCTAGGCCCCAACATTATCAAGGAGACCAAGTAATTTTTCAAAATAGTCTTATAACGTTCTTGCTTTTAAAGTAAGTGTCTTTGTTCAAATGGTGGTTCAGTTTTTCTTTGGCAGCATTCTCTCTACGGTCTTGTTATTGAGATTGAATCTCTTCGCGACGTGGCACTTGGTGCTCATCAGCATTATGCAAAAACTAATGTGTCCTTTGGTTTGATTGCATACATGGTCGAAGTGTCCTCTTTACTTATTTACTTCTATCAATGTCTTAGCTAATTTATGAATAGGTTTACGTCTATCAGACTAACTTAAATCTGAGAGCCAAATAAGGTGGTAACCATCCACTTGCCTGTGCCTTTGATTGCTTCCATTAGGAACCAATTTTAGTTCCATAGAATTACCGGTCATGGTTGCATATGGCATTGTTCTGTAGTATGTTTTTGTTTGCTACATGTCACCTCTAGATTTGGTGGGAGTTTGTTGTTGGCTATTTTCATCTAGTCTAATATTTATGTCAGTGCTTTTTGAACTAACCCCTAATTAGACTCTCTATGCTAATTTAGGACCCCCACTCGTTCTTTAGTGCACTTTTAATTTTGTTGTGTAAAAAAAAAACCTGCTCATTCTTTGGCTCTCCTGAAAATCTGAGACCTCTCTAGTTTTTAATATTTTAATTATCGACTTTGAATCATCTTAAAATGTACTGGTTGTATATTCAGGTAGGTGCATTACTTCCCTTTGTGGTCATCATTTCTATCAGTGTAGCAAAGGTTTCCTCCTACATATACACAAGTTCTCTCATAATAGTGGATTTCTTTATGGTTTTCTTCTCGCGTTTGCGTTTTTGATGCGCCCACAATTTGGGTTGGCTAGCCAAAGATATGCATGCTCCTAAGGTTATTCAATTATAGCTTCATAGCACATTGTGCATCTTGGTTTTTTGCTTTGATTATGCATATCTTGCTTCCAACTCAATAGATTTCATCGCACTGGTGGTATGGCAAAATTTTCTTCATTAGCCATTAATGTTATTGTTGGTTTCAGCTGACAGAGAAAATCAAATCCTTCTCATGGCACTATTGAAGTTGGCATTATAAAACTTGGAGAAACAAAACGTAGGTCCATTGACCTTATGTTAGAGAGGTTATTCTTGTAAACCTGCACCAAGTACAAACCAGGATAGATAATAGGAAAAAAAAAAGCTCATGTGATCTAAAAGAACTAGCGAAATTACAATTCTAATGATGGTCCAGAAAATTTGCACCTGGACTCTTAACTGATACCGCACCCTCCATCATCCAATATTCAGGAAAGAAATCTAATACTCAGTTATCAACACACTTCTTGTTTATGTACTTGGCATAATGGAATTTGTTTCTGTTCCGATTTCAAATAAGTCATTCCAATTGCAGCAGGTTCATAGTTCGCCTGGTTATGTTTCTTGGTTGAGTTGATTAAAATGATCTTTATTCTTGGTACCATCTCGAGCTTCTTCCTACTTCAATGTGGAGATGCGACATGGGCTGTCTCATGCCTGGTGAGTAACTATCGAAATCCCTCTCTCATTTTAAGTATCTCAATGGAGATAGTCCTGTCTAAGAAGCCAAACCAACAGTATAAAACCTGGACTTCTTTGCATGTGTGCAAACCAATTATCAGACCATACTACATGCCTGGTTTTAGCTATTGCCTTTTTTAGAGTATTGAGTCAGGTTTGGAACTATAGGGCCTGGTTTCTGTTAGATAGTTTTTATGCAAAATAACTTGATGTAATTGTTTCAGCTATAGAAAATTGGTGACCAGCTCAAATTAAGTACTGCGCTCAAGCAACGAAGATCAAGACATAGACATTCTTAGGCTAATGTATGCAGCTTTGACGTTGATTTATACATATTATTTGGATTGGAGGTGTTAAAAATTGCATTGATGTACTAATTTTGAAAAATGCTCCCTTGTTGGTGGCTTCAGCTAATAATGTTATTCCTTAACCTCTACTGAAATAGCAGTTCATTGATCAGTTTGATATATACAATAGGTGAAAATTAATTCAGATATTTTTTGTTAATTGAGTATAATATCGATGAATCTAGTTCAAAGAGATCAATAAATCAAAGTTCAAAAACTTGTACTTCATGTTTTGTTCAACAGGAAATCGAATACGGCTCAGAATTTTTGCAATGAGGATGGATTTCAAAGTAAAATATCAAAAGAGTTTCGATTTTACCCTCCCACTTATCTAGGAATGGCAGTGGATTGGGGAGGGGAGGGGGGGCGAGAGGAGTAGTCTCCACCCCCGTATCTACTTAAAAAACGTTCGTCCACCTCCGGTCCACTCCATTAACTGGAAAAGTTTTAAACTCCATACCCCTGCCTATTACAATTAATTTATGTGATTTTAAGAAAAAATTACAAAAAAAAATTGTGAGATAATTTTACATTTTTTAAGTGCTGGATTTTTCATATGAGCTCAATGGTTATGCTTCATGGATTCTGTTTTGTCGTTGTAATTCCTTTATAGCTCTCTGTAGTTAGAAGTAGCTGCTCAGGTCATAGGCAACCAATTCATAAATAAAGAATTTTTAGCAGGTGTTGCCCACAATTTTAGATGATGAATATTCTTTATTTTCCTCTTTCTCTTTTGTGAAATTCTGACTTAAACATAGGTAGTCCTGTATTTTGAATCTCCATTCTCTTCGATCTTGTTATTGAGATTGAATCTCTTTGTGATGTGGCACTTGGTGTGCTCGTCAGCATTATACAAAAATGTATGTGCCCTTTGGTTTGGTTGCACACATGGTCGAAGTGTGCTCTTTAATTATTTGCTTCTATCAATTGTCTTAGCTGATTTATACACAAGTTTGCTCATAATGGTGGATTTCTTTCTGGTTTTCTTCTTGTGTTTGTGTTTTTGATGCGCCCATAATTTGGGTTAGCTAACCAAAGATATGCATGCTCCTATGGTTCTTCAATTTCTAGCTTTAATGGCAGATTTTGCATATTGCTTTTTTGTGTTGATTATGTATATCTTGCTTGCAACTCAACGGATTTCCTCGCGCCATTATTGTTATTGTTGGTTTCAGTTGACTGAGAAAATCAAATCCTTCTCACGATGGCATTATAATAAAAGCTATGTTTGATCTAAAAGCTATGTTTGAGAGGTTAAACTTGCAAACCTGCAACAAGTACAAACCAGGATAGATAATAGAAAAAAAAAATAAAAGCTAGCTAATATGATCTAAAAGAACTAGCTGAATTACAATTCTAATGATGGTCCAGAAAATTTGCAGCTGGACTCTTGACTGATACCGCACCCTCCATTATCCAACATTCGGGAAATACATCTAATACTTAGTCATCAGCATACTTGTTGTTTATGTTCTAATCAGCATCCAAAATTTGGTTCTGTTCTGATTTCAAATAAGCCATTCCAATTGCAGCAGGGTTCACAGTTGGCCTAGTTATGTTTCTTGGTGGAGTTGAAATGATCTTTTTTCTTGGTGACATCTCGAGCTTTCTTCCTACTTCAATGTGGAGATGCAACACAGGCGGGCTGTCTCGTGCCTGATGAGTAATTGTTGAAATTCGTCTCTCATTTTAAGTATCTCAATGGAGATAGTCCTGTCTAAGAAGCCAAACCAACAGTATAAAACCTGGACTTCTTTGTATGTGTCCAAGCTTAGTTTCAGCTAACGCATTTTTTAGATTATGATAAAACTTTCTGCTTTGCAAGTTTCAATTTGCTAAAATCAATTAGGCAAACCAATGGACTGAATGTGTTTCTCTCGTGAATATAGGATTCAGGTTTGGAACTATAGGGCCTGGTTTTTGTTAGGTAGTTTTTATGCAAATTAACTTGATGTCATTGTTTCAGTTACAGAAAAGTGGTGACCAGCTCAAATTAATTAACGTGCTCAAGGAATGAAAATCAAGACAGAGACATTCTTAGGCTATGTATGCAGCTTCACCATTGATTTATACAAATCAGTTGGATTGGAGGTGTTAAAAATTGCATTAATCTCCCTTGTTGGTGGCTTCAACTATTAATGTTATTCCTTGACCTCTATTGAAATAGAAGTTCATTGATTAGTTTGATAAACAACAGGTGAGAATTAATTCAGAGATTTTTGGTTGAGTGAGTATAATATCGATGAATCTAGTTCAAAGAGGTTGATAAATCAAGTTCAAAGTGGTCATTCTTTTTCAACATGTACTTCATGTTTTGTTCAATAGGAAATCAATTAAGGCTTATAATTTCGTACACTGGGAAGTTTTTTTTTGGGGGGTAGGGAGAGTTGAACCCTTGACTTCAAGAAGATAAAGCCTTCACAAGGTAAGGAATACCATTGAACCAAAGGTCCGTTGGGAGGCGGGAAGACTTGTTTTAGTATTGCAGCAAAACTATAGGGTCATTTATACCTCATTAACCTGAAAAAATCTCAGCTTAACACCCATACTACAAGTGTTTTAATTTTAGATGATCGCGTTTGAAACCAGATCACTAATTATGAATCGACTAAAAATATATACAATGGCGCACAATTTATATGCATAAACATTTTGGAATCATGTTTTGATGTAAAATAAAAGGCATCTAAATTAAAGTCTACTTGGTAAAAAAAAATAACAATGTTAAACCGTTACAAAAAAAAAATTGAGGTGTAAAAATGGACAAAGGAAATTCAACAATTTGTACCAGCACAAACATCCATGGGAGAGACGCCTAGGAGGCTAGCCTTTTTGGGGGGCATAAAAAAATTACCTAATTTGTTTT